GACCAGAGTATAAACATCCCCCTGGATGGAGGGGAGGATGTGCTGGTGGGCAGGGGAGCCGGCGCCTCTGTCTGCCCTGGGGACACGCTGTTTATTCCATGTCCCTCACGAGCCCTCTTGGGTTCCTTCCGGCCCCAGGTCTGGGCAAGTCAAGGCAGACAGATCAGCCCTATGTAGGGGTCCAAGGCCTTGAGCATAGACTTCAACCTCTCAGGGCTGGAGAGGAACTATCTCTTAAAGCTCCACCAGTCCAACCCTTCCTTCTCCTTGAATCTCCTTCCCGGCATTCCCAGCTGGTTTTCTGACCTCTGGTCTTTTTGGCTGACAGGGAATTCATTCTTTCCCAGGGCAATCCATTCAACTATTGGGATTTGGCAGTTAGAAAATGCTAGAAAAGAGCTGACTAGAATTGTTTTGTGCAACTTGATTGAGCAGCGCTAAAAACCACGGGTACAACAAAATAGCAGCAGGGCCGTTGGCTGAGCACCGCTCTGTGACAGGCACTTACCTCCTGAAATCCTTTTTGAGGAGGACCCACAGGCTCAGAAAGGTTAGGCACTTGCCCGAGGTAACCCAGCTGTTGTGTTCAAAGTCTGTGCTTTAAATCTTAGTCTATACTGGGCCTTCCCAATCAAAACCAAAAATAGTACATACACCCGCAGAGCACCCTACAATAAACAGGCACGCACAAAACCAACCAAGTTACAAGAAAAACAGCCCACACTTGCCAAGTATTAAATGCCAGTTGTATGCCAGGCAAGTCATGATTTTTATGACAAATCCATGTTAACAACCCTCTGGGGAAACTGAGGCTCTCTGAGGTTAGAAGACATGGACATGGTCACGTCAGAAGGGACGGAGCAAGTGGTCAGCCACCATTTCTGAAGTCTGCAGACTCCCACGATGCCACAGTGCATCACGGGGTGTGGTGGGGGGACTTCAGCCGAATGGGAGAAAACGTGCATAATGATAATGATCATTCTCAGCAACCAGGGCTTTAAAACGTGAGATGTGCATCTTCGGAGAGAGAGGACCTCCCTGTACTGAAGGTGCCGGGGAAGGGTTTTCTCCTCTGGAAGGAGCTACGCAGGATTCTATGGGCGGCGACCATTAACAAGAGATCGGCGACAGCGCAAAGTCTGTATGCAACCCAGAAACGAACTCGGCCTTTTCAAGAGTGGGTGCCGGCCAAAACCGGTTTGGGTCAGTGGATAGAGCATCGGCCTGCGGACTGGAAGGTCCAGTCAAGGGCATGTACCTTGGTTGCGGGCACATCCCCGGTAGGGGGTGTGCAGGAGGCTGCTGGTCAATGTTTCTCTCTCATCGACGTATCTAGCTCTCTATCCCTCTCCCTTCCTCTCTGTAAAAAAATAATCAATAAAATATATTAAAAAAAAAAAAAAAAAAAAAAGAGTGGGTGCCGGGCAGAAGGGAGGCCTTGGCCACCCAGTCCCCAAGCACAAGCCCACCTCTGAGAATCCTGCCCCAGCTCACACTTCCTCCGTTGCTCCCCGTGGGGGAGGAGGCACTGGCACCTGGCCTGGGCAGAGGGTCATGTGGACGCAGTGCCCCTCTGTACATCCTGGGGGCCGCCCATGCGCTGAGGCCTTTCCCTTTTTTGAGAACTGGGAGCTTGCTGGCTGGGTCTGTTCCCACCAACAGTGTTCCCGTCCAGGGATCTTAAAATAGTGCCTCTTGGCGGGGGCTCTGGAGTGAGCAGTGAGGCAGGCATTTGTGCAAATATGGGCCTGGGAGAAGGACTCCTACCAGGAGGGTGGAGGGCGGGGTGGGCAGCGTGGCAGGAGAGCCAAGACCTCCTGTGGAGGATGCGCCCTCCCGGCCACAGCCCCCCTCCATCTTGCAGCAGAGGCGCCGGCCAGTCTCCTCCCGCCTCCCCTGGCCTTGCTGGGTCCACTCGGGCTGGTCTCTAGACTGAATGCCAGGGGCCCTCCTGGCCCAGCCGAGGTTCCCGGATAAGCCCACTATGACCAGGGGGCCTCTACATTCTTCTGCTGGATCTGTCCTTGAGCCCACCTGACAATGCCCTTCCCACCTGGGAACACCCCAGAAATACCTCTAAAGGCCCAACTCCAAATCCGTCTTAACAATAACAGTGACAATGGCAGCTGCCGTTCATTGAGGGCTTACTGTCGGCAGGCACACTGCTGAGTGCTGTGACATGCATGATTTCATCTGATCCTCACAAGCATCCATGGGGAGCCAAGTTATTCTTATCTCCCCTGGGCAGAATAAACGAAGGCCCAGAAAAGTCAAGTCACTTTCCCCAGGCAGCAGAGCCCTGAGCTGGTGGAGACAGGATTAAAACTCGGGCCTGTTAGCCTCTGGGGTCTGAAGGCTTAGCCCTCGGGCTGCACCTCCCCACCTCCCCCAGCTCCCTGCTGTTCTGGCCTCCCATTCTCCATCCCAGCGTGATCACCCTGCGTGACAGACCACTGGCGTGATTCAATGCATGGAACAGCGAATGCCTGCGACGTGTCAGGAGCATTACTGGGTGCCATGTCCAGAGGCTGGGAGTCCTCAGATCCCCTTGAAGACTCTTATTTGGGCTTGGGCTGTGATCTCCCCAACACGCAGGGCCCAGTTTGTTTGAGAATATTAGGGTAAGGCTGAGGCAAGCATACCAGTCTGATGACCAAGAGACCAGCTGGACATTCCCCCCCTCCTGTCCTGGTTGCAATGGCCCTCTTCTCCCGCTGTACGGAACAGCATGTGCATGAATCAAGCTTTGGCTCCGTGAGCATCAGTTTCCCCATTCTATATTTGGGGAAAAGTTAGGGCCTCACCACAGGGTGGGTGGGAGGATTTAATGAAACTGCATGAAGGACTTAGCACAATGCCTGCTAGTCAGTAAGTAGATATTAAGCAACAGCTATTATTACTACTAGTTATTTTCTGGAAATTATGGTGTCCGGGTGTCAAATGGCAAGAGGCTCGCATGCACATAGTAGGTGCTCCAAGTGAAGTAAATCACTCACACAGCAGACAGAAGCCCCCTTGCTCATCCTTCCCACTACTACCCCACACCCTCTTGGCTGGCTGTGCCATTCCTGCTCTAATGAGGAAGGTGTCCTGGGCACTGGTCCTCAATAACAAGAGGGTCACGCGGGCATCCAGGGGCAGGCAAACCCACTCCCAAACCCACTCCCCCAGACCCTCATTTTCAGCTCCAGGGCCTATCCTAGAGAAAAGAAGTAGCTGGTGTGGAAGTTCCATCAGGCTTTGCTCAGATCTTCAGGGATGTCTGGTGGCGCCACCTGGTGGCGAGCACAGCACTGCTCCTGGCCAGGCCTGAACCTCCAAGTGCCTCCACCCTCTGCCCCTTCCTTGCTCTGCAGCTCATCCGCCCCTTCCCTCACTCAGAAGCACCATGTACTGACCACCGCCCGTGTGTAAAGACTTAAGGACCCCCACTTTGCTGTGAGGCAGAAGCCCCTGAAGTCGAAGTCACGATGCCTCCCTCTCAGGCCTGGCTCTGACCACACTCTGCCACAATCCACACTCAGGGCATCCGTGAAGGCAGATGGTTTCTAGAAGCCAAGGCTGGAGGAAGGGGCCTCCTTTGTGGCCTGAACTGGCCAATATGGTCACGAGGCCTATCCTTGACTCCCTGCCGCCCCATTCTTCGCCTTGCCACCCTGGCTGTTTCTCTGGTTCAAAGGACAGTGGCGGTGGGGCTGGGACGGCCCGGGGTGGGAGTGGGGCCTGCTGCCTGAAGAGGTATTTTCAGAGTCCCCCTCCCTCCGGAGTTTCCAGCGATAGAATGGAGCCCTGTCTAGTATTTGACCAAATAAGGTGGTATCTCTAGATGAGCTCAAGCCTCAGCCAGCTTCTCAGTTATGCTGTGGAAACCTGCCCTGGACAGATTAATCTTGTGACATTCAGGAGCGCCTCACACCCCGCGTTCTTCCCCCAGCGGCTGGCCCATTCCTGTAAATGGCCAAGAGTGGCCCCTCAACAGGGCGCTGTGGTCCTGGATGTCTGTTCACCGTGTCCCTCCCCTGCCCTCTCCACCCCCCCTCCCCCACAGCTCCCACTGCTGCCGTGGGCGGACTACTCTCCTTCACAGTTGGCTGGGCTGCTCACTTGAGTGAGAGACCTCGACCAGCGGGGCTGGCCATTTCAGCATGTGATTCCAGGACACATAGACCCTGGGGTCACCTGAGCTCACAAAATTGTCGCCAGAGCCTGTGAAAGCCAGGGCTCTCTCAGCGAGGAGGGTGGGCCCGAGGGGGTAGGAAGGAGACTCGGCTGAGCAATGCAACCTGGGCTAGCTCTAAGAACAGATAATGTTTATAAAAAACAATAATAAAATTATTTTACAGCCATTTTCATAATAAACAGCTAAGAGTTTATTGAGTGGTTACTACGTGCCAGGCCCTGTGCCAGGTGCTTAACATGGGCTATTTCTTTTATTCCTTATAACAGCCCCTAAAGGTGAGTGCTGGGATGATCCCTTTTCGAGAGATGTGGGAACTGAGCCTTGGAAAGATTTCAGGGAGAAATGGGCCAGGCCTCTGCCAGTTCCTGGGCACGGCACTCATTTTACAGAAAAGGAAACTGAGGCTGCGAGAGAATCAAAGTCTCAGACAGTCTCGGGGGGAGGGGGGAGGCCAGGTCCCTGCAGTGGAGACCTTCTCTAAGCAAAGGAAGGCCAGACGACTGGCCATGAAGTCCTCATGGACCCGAGACTTGGCTCGTGTGAGAACACAGATTCAGAAACACATTCCCAGCAGGCCAGCCTTGCGCCGAAAATGGCCCAAGAAAAACAGCCTGGGCGGGTGGCTAGAGCCCTGCACAGGACCAGGTATGAGCCCCAGCTCTGTCATCTGTAACTCACTGTGTGTGTGATCCTGCACAAGTCCCTTCCTGCTCCAGCCTCGGTTTCCCCGCCGGTGAACTAAGGAAGCAAAGGCCGTTGAGCTCACCTGAGACTCTCAGGAGTCCGCTTCCCTGGGAGAGATGGGGTCTGTGTCCCGCTCCTGGCCAGCACACGCCGAGAACATTTGCTCTCCTGACCAACGGACAGCCTGTCCCTCCTCCACCCTCACCCCCTTGCTATCCCCAAAGCAAACGAAGCTGATTGTCTCAGCAGGCCCTGTGGGTGCTGGCCGGCCGGCCGGCCGCAGGCCACAGACGGAGGTGCCACCCGCCAGAGCCCCACCAGACACACAGGGCATTGTCCCTTAGTCAACAGCCCCTGGGCACCTCGGCTGGTTCCTGGCCTGCCCCCACGCCCCTCACCGCCTGCCGCTGCGCCAGGCCCAACCAGCTGGGGGCCCCAGCCGAGGATGAGCCCACCCACCCCCAGCAGCCCCCTGATGAGCTATAATTGCTTCGCTCCGTCCTGTTGCTGCCATTCTCTTGGAGGAGGCATCTGGGGTTCCAGGACGGCGGCAGCTGCAGGCCGGCCGCCTGGCTCGTCGGGATGGACTGGCTGTACAACCTGGTACGTGGCGCTCCCCCACCCCCACCCCTGGGAGGGCCTGAGCGTTTCGGTACTTCTTTCCTATTGATTAATGTCTGGGTCTGTTTGGCTTGGAATCTGCAGAGTTCTCCCTCTTGCCCTCTCCCCCAGGGCTGGAGAGGAACAGACTGGTCTCACAGCCTGCAGCCATGGCCAGTAGCTCAGGCTCCTGGACTGGGCCCGTCCACACTGAAGCCCTTTCAGGCCAAAGGCATCTGGGGAGATCCTGGCAAACTCGGTTATCGGGGTTTTTCCAACGAGTCCTTGGGTCCTGAGAGCCAGGCTGTGTGACCCGGGGGGCAAGCCCTTCCGTGCCTGCGTGTCCCACCTGCCACGTGAACGGAGGGGGCTCTGATTCTGTTCTGTGTCCCTCTGCCAGAGTTTGAGAACACCGAGTGAGAAACTCGGATGCAATGAGGAAGCCTATTGTTAGGGAGACATCTTTCTGCATCAGAATCTGGGACCCAAAAGGAAGAATTCAGGGATTTGAATCTCTGTCGTGGGTTTTGCTCCAAAAAATGGCTCTGCCAAGAGGGACTATGCTCAAACTTGTTTCCAAGGGTCAAGACTTGCTGGGTAGCCTGGAGAAGTCAGGCGCGGGCCGTGTGAACTGTAGGGTGAGGGACCCAGGGCAGGCAGGAGCCTGGCTAGATTCCATGAGGAGATGAAGCTCCCCCTGAAGGTTCCCCCCATCTGGCCAGCCCTGGCCCTCACCCAGGCCCTGGCCCTTCTCTCCCCGACTTCCTGAGAAGTCTGGGTTCTGCTGGCCCCCGGGTCCTCTCCTGTGTGAGCCAAAGGCTTTCCTGACACTCCTGGCTCTGAGGGCAGAAGTGGTCGGCAGGTGAGGATGGAGAGGAGTGGGTGAGGAAGGACGAGGGGTGGCAGGCAGAGGGTTATGGGTGGAGGAGGAGAGCACAGGTGCCATGGAGTCCAACAGAGATCCTTGGCCTCCTCCTGCCCACCTCCCCACCTTCATCTCATGGTCTCTTCTCCCGCCCCCCATTACCAAACTTCAGCCTCACTGTTTCCTTTTAGCAAAGCTCTTAACGAACTCAAACCTCCTCTTACACATCTGCCCCCCTCTTATCCTTCAAACTTCACCTGACATGCCTGCACCCCGGAAAGGCTTTGGGGGACCCTACCCTGCCCCCTGGCTAAGCGGGTGGCCCTGTTCTTCTCTAACCACGTGCTGCAGGGTCCCGCCATCGCACTTGTCTCCAGAGAGATTTAGGTGTTTGTTTTCTGGTTCACCATCTGTTCTTTCTCCCGGACTGTGAGCTGCAGAAGGCAAGGATGGTGGCAGCCATTCACTCACTCGAACACAGGGGCTAGCTAAAACAGCATGTGGAAACTGACACAATGCTTGTCCTCATGGAGTTTGTGCCTAGTGGGGGTCAGGCATAGAAAAGCATCACACGCAGAGACTGTAAGACTGCAGTCATGCAAGAGGCATGTGGTGTGGAGAGCCCAAGAAGGTGCACCAAGGCCTCCGTAAGGAAGTGACACTGGAGAGGCTTTTAGAAGGCGAGGAGAGCAGCCCTCTGCAGGCAGTGGCCTGTGCAAAGCCCCTGTGGCAGGAAGGAGCATGGTGAGAGGAAGGGAAGGAGTGAAGGCCAGAGGCTGAAATGCAGATGTGAGAGGAATCTCAGGCCCAGGAAAGTGACTTTATTAGATTTGCATTTCAAATAGCTGTTCTTAGCCTAGATGTGGAGAATTGATTGGGGGGAGAGACACACTGTTGAGCTGTTCAGGGCTGTGAGAACAGGGGTGCAGATAGAGAGAAGTGGATGGGTGGGAGATTTTGTTCTTTTTCCATAGGAGGGAAATAGACTTCATTTTCAAGTAATGATATTTAGAAAAGACCCATCCCTGGCCTTTAAAAACTTCTCCATCAATTCAGATGGATAGGGAGATTTTTGAAGGGAGCAATAGATAAGACTTAGTGATGAGTGTGGTGCACAAAAGTGTTGGTACACAGGAGTGACGGGCTGGTGGGACCAAGACAGGGCATGGCAGGTAAGAGTCACTCCCATAAGGCCTCTCTTCTTTTCTTTACCTGCTCTGAGCCCTGATGCTTGGCCCAGAGGGAGTCCTGGCTCTCTGACCTTTGACCCGTGGCCTTCCTCCTCAGCTATTTCTTCTTACCATCTCCATCTTCCTGGGGCTGGGCCAGCCCAGGAACCCCAAAAGCAAGCGGAAGGGGCAAGGGCGGCCTGGAACCGTGGCCCCTGGGCCTCATCAGGTGCCACTGGACCTGGTATCGAGGGCGAAACCATACGCCCGCATGGAGGAATACGAGAGAAACCTTGGGGAGATGGTGGCCCAACTGAGGAATAGCTCCGAGCCAGCGAGGAGGAAGTGTGAGGTCAACCTGCAGCTGTGGCTGTCCAACAAGAGAAGCCTGTCACCATGGGGCTACAGGTAGGCCAGGCTGGGTGGCCGTGGGTGGGCTGCTTCGCACGTTGAGGGTTGCATGGGGAGGGGGGGTACCTTGCCCATTGTCCCCATCGTCGTAAGAGTTTTAAGACCTTGGATGCAGAGGCCTGAACGCCTGGGATGGAATCCTGGCTCTGCTTCTTACTTGCTGTGTGGCTTTAGGCAAGTTGCTTAGCCTCTCGGTTTCTTCAGTGGAGGTGATGGAAGTACCTACTTCATAGGTTTGTCACTAAACGAGATACCCATGCAGAACACTGCTGTTACTATTCTCCACGTCCCCGCTGAGATACCTGCCAGGCTTTCCCTGAGGGTCACCTCCTCCAGCTCGGGGTGCCTCATGCCCACCTCTCAGTTACAGCACTTCCAGGGGGTCTTGAGTTGACTGTGTCCCTATCTGTCTCATGCTAGACTAGGACCTTCTATGGGTTCTCATGCTCCATTGAATCCAAATCTCCAGGGCGGAGGCCCAGAAGGTGGGATTTTATACATCTCCACGTGACTAGGATGCACAGTGAGGTTTGTGATTCAACCTGCTGCCCCTGATGGAAGGGGTGGCATCTTGGCTTGCCTGTAGCTCCACTTTCCAGCACAGCACCTGGCACCCAGAAGGGGCCACCTGTACATGTGCTGAATGAATAATGACGAAACAGGCTAACCCTGAAGGTCCTCTCACACTCAGGCCACACAACTGGTGTCCAGAATAACATGTTCAGTAGAACATTCTGTGATGGTGTCAAGTCCAACCAGCCTCTTGTGGCTCTTGAGCGCCTGAACTGTGGCTAGTGTGACTGGGGAGCTCATTTTGATTAGTGTAAATAGCCACATGTGGCTAGTGGCTACCATCTCTGAAATGTGGCCATTGGAAGTGGCCATTAAGATCCTCCCCCTCAGAAAAAAATAAATAAAATAAAAAAAAGATCCTCCAAAGCTGGGCCTCTCACTTTACTGTGCCCTTGACTTGTTGGAGATCTTATAAAAATGCAGGTTCTGATCAAGAGGGGATGGGGGGATGGGCGGGGCACAAGATTCCATATTTCTGACAAGTTTCGATGAGATCCTGACGCTGCAGATCCACAGGTCCAGGTGACCCCTCACATTCAGCAGATGAGGAAACTGAGGCACAGTGAGGACAGGGTCACAAATCAAGTCCCTGTGCTCTCAGCTGTAGGAGGGAGCTCCTGTGTGTTGTCCAGCAGTGAATGCCCTGTGTCGAGGACCCGATGTGATGGGCAGCCAGCCCCTGCTGGGCACTGTGGGGCAGGGAAGGCCACAGGCTCACCAGCAAAGGCGGGCATCGCTGCTGACTGGCCGTAGCTGGCCCACAGGACGGCAGAGACGATGTCGTCGATCCTACTGGGCTGGGACTGGACGTGTGGCCAATCCCATGGTGGGTGGATGAAAAACAATTGTTGTGTGAATAGAAATGAAGTTAGAATAGACCCCAGGCCTCCTGACTCCTCTTTGAGTGAGAATTAGGCATAAATGTTCTAGTAAATTAAGTTTCTCAAGACTGTAAGTAAGGGGGTGGGGAGATAGAGGGTCCTTAGCTTCTTTGGGACCCCACAGCACCATGGAGTATCAGGCTAAGGATCTTGCTGGAGGAAAGAAGAAAACTGGGTGATTGACGGGTATCCTTGAACCTGGATAACCTTGGGGTGCCCGACTTGCCTTCCAAGGTTCCTTTTCTCACCTTGTACTGGGAGTTGATCACTGTCCTTCCTATGGCATAAAACCCGGGGGTTTAGGAAAAGCAAAGGCTTGGGGCGTGGGCGCCAATGTGCTGCCCCTCCCTCATCCCTAACACAGCAGCAGCAGCAGCAGCACCTGCTTCTCTCTCGTCTTCCTGCAGCATCAACCACGACCCCACCCGCATCCCGGCAGATCTGCCTGAGGCGCGGTGCCTGTGCCTGGGCTGCGTGAACCCCTTCACCATGCAGGAGGACCGCAGCATGGTGAGCGTGCCCGTGTTCAGCCAGGTGCCGGTGCGCCGCCGCCTCTGCCCGATGCCGCCCCGCACCGGGCCCTGCCGCCAGCGCGCTGTCATGGAGACCATCGCCGTGGGCTGCACCTGCATCTTCTGAATGGCCTGGGCCCAGAGCCTGTGGGCAGCTGGGGAGCGCGTGTGTTCCCCCCCCCCCCCCCCCCCGCCCGCCCTGCACCCCTAGGCCACACAAGGCCCATGAAAAGTAAACGCTGTCTTTCTAAAGCAAGACCTTGGGTTTGCTCCTTGTGGCTCTGAAGCCAAAACCAGGGTGGGGGGATAGGAGGTGCCTGGGAGGTAGGTCTCAATATAAAGGAGGACTCTCTACCACTCAGCGTTCTCCAACCCCAAAATGGGTTATTAAAAAAAATACTGCATTTACTTCTACCATTTTGGAGAGTCACAAATTTCCTTTAATTTGGGACTGTAAGCCTTATTTCAGTCATGCCATTGGAGCGTGGTTGCTGTAAACGTCTGCAGGAGTGACGAAGCGTTAAATCTTCCCAGGTGAGCCCGGGACCACTGCAAACAATCTCTTGGGAAGCAGTGAGCCCCCTGTCTCTGTAAAGGTCCAGCAAAGGCTGAGCCGCTCAAGAATAGTGCAGAGCTGCCCTGGCCGGTTTGGTTTAGTGGACAGAGCGTCTGCCTGAGGACTGAAGGGTCCCAGGTTCAATTCCGGCCAAGGGCACATGCCCAGGTGGGCTTGATCCCCAGTAGGGGTCGTGCAGAAGGCAGCCGATCAATGATTCTCTCTCATCATTGATGTTCCTGTTGTTATGCCCAGACTTCGTGATCCCCAAGGACCACCAGGGAGCCAAGTCCGATGCAATAAACAAAAGAGCCTTCACCATGCTAGCATGGGCCCCTCCCACCAATGCCGGCAGCATGGCGGAAGAGCGAGAATTTCTCCCAGTCCAGGGGTTTTGAGGGCTAGGGATAACTCCGCCCCGGGAGCTCATCCTCGCCCCACCCTGCCCTTTCACTGTCTCTCCCTCTCCCTTCCTCTTTGAAATCAATATAAATATTGCAGAGCAGGAATATCTGCTCTGGGAGGAATAAGGCTTCCTTCAACTCAGATTCTCTGCTGGCTCAGCTTGGGCTTGCCAAAGGGCAGGGTTTTGTTTTGTTTTTTTAAACCTGGGCCATCGAACCCCTGAAATGTGCACATGGGAATGCATTTATTCTGGTCTGGGGATCTCTGGCTTTGAACAAACACTTGAGAGTTGAGAAGCATCAACATAGACCATTCTTTTCTCCAGCCGCATCCACCAGGGGATCTGGTGAGATGGTTTGCTGACACCAGTGGTTCTGAAACGTAGCTAGCATGAGAATCACCCGGGGGCTTGTTGAAAAGCAGCTTGCTGGGCCCCACACGCAGTGGTTCTGAAATGACTCGGTAGGTTCGACATGGGGGCTGAGCCTCACATGTCTAAGGCAGTGTTTGCTGGGGCTGGTCTGGGGACCACCCTTCCAGAACCACTGATTTATATCAAAGCGCTTTACTGATAAAAAAAAAATAATAATAAGGGCAGGGTGGGTCGACTTGCCTGAAAGCTCCCCGCTGCGATGCTAATTCCCACCCACCCATCGGCCCCTTGCAACTCAATCCGCCCCCTGCCCTTCTAGCCCCTGCGCCAAATCCTAAATCAGCTGCTCTCAGGTCTAAAAATACCTTCCTGCCCCCAGGACAGCTGAGGGGCTCAGGCTGTTTTCTGAGGGTAAGAATAGCTGGCTCTTTAGAGTGCATTTCGGTAAGAGGGCCATCGGCCAGTATAGAAACATACGGCTGCTCTAACTTCAATGCTTACAGCGGCTTTAGCTCTGAATGTATTAAGGCTTCATCATTCATGAAAGGGCACTGGATAGGTTAAGTATGTGTCTGTCCAGGGTGGTAAGTAACTTACCTTTTTTGGTATCGTTCTAGAGTGGATACTGGTTAAAATTACCCCAGGACGCTTTGGCCTGGCTCCAGGCACATGGAAAACAGACTTCTTGTGCCAGCCCAAGCTGATGCCTCCAGCAGTGGTGTCTCTTCCCTGGGAGTGGGGTGGGGGGGTGTGTGTGTACTTGTCTCTGAGGCCCCCACAGCCTGCTCTTCAGGCCTCAAGACTTGAGCCATACACGAGGGACCCGTGGCCTCCAAGGCCTGTTTGTGAGGTGAGGGCGCAGGGAGATGTGAGAGACAAGACGGTAGCTCTGGGCCTGGGGGGGAGACCCCGGGTGCCCTGGGGTGTAGGGATTGGGCGGGGAAACTCCTCACCTGCTGGGACCCTCCCAGAGTGCCAGACACACAGAGATCCTCAATAAACAAGCCTGCTTATTGGTTTTATATGGAGATTGGCATTTTCTCTTTCCAGGCTTCAGCTTTCTCATCTGGAGCTTGGTCTCAGGAGCCTGGGTGGGCAGCTGGCCCTCCCCTGCCTCCTGGTCTAAAGACAGCGACAGGGAGCTCGGGGCCTTTGGAGAACCGGGTCCACACGGTGCCCCTGACCTCCTCTGGTCTGAGTTTTATTTTATTTTATTTTATTTTATTTTATTTTTTTAAATATATTTTATTGATTTTGTACAGAAAGGAAGGGAGAGAGATAGAGAGTCAGAAACATCGATGAGAGAGAGTCATCGATCAGCTGCCTCTTGCACACCCCCTACTGGGGATATGCCCGCAACCAAGGTACATGCCCTTGACCAGAATCGAACCCGGGACCCTTCAGTCCCCAAGCCGACGCTCTATCCATTGAGCCAAACCGGTCTTGGCTGGTCTGAGTTTTAATGTGTCTCCTGCTTTCCACTCTCTGGTGAGAGTCCCCCAACTCCGTAAGAACAGGGGCCTCATCTGTCAACTTCAGTGCTGCATCCCCAGCACCTAGCACAGTGCCACATGCAAAATAGGGGTGCAGGCCTTGGTGAATGAATGCATGCATGCATTCATGCCAGGAGGCCTGGCGGGGGGGAGGGGGAGAAAGGGCAGGGAGGGGCGCGAAAGATCTGCCCCTAGCTCTCTCTGTTGCTCCTTCAAAGGTGGGTCAGGAGCAAGGCATTTCTCCCTCCCCACCGTTCTTCTCCCACTCCCAATTCCACCCTCCACAGCCCTCTCCCCACCAAGGAGCCGAAATCCTGCTTGAGCCACCTGCTCCAGGGGTGAAGTTCCTTTGAGGAGTTCTGAACACATATTATATTGCCCCCAGGACGAATGGGAATGTGGGGACCTCCTTCCTGTTTTCTTTGGCAGATGATAGGATTGTCTTTGCAAATGCTCACTCTTCTCCCAGGGGGCTGTGGGTCCCTGGGGGGCTTCTGGAGGGCCTGGGGACAAAGGTTCCCCCTGGTTCTCATGCTCCCTTCTGCTGCCTTCAGGAACCTCTGCCCTCTCCTTGCAGGTGGGAAGGTGGTGAGAAGCAGCTCTCAGGTTTGGGCCTGGGGGAGTGGGCTGCGTGGGCATTTTGGCCCAGTTTGGCTCTGAGCTGTTCAGGCCTGCATACCCAGACAAAGGAAGTTTCTGAAGCAACAGCCAGCTCCACAGCACTCGAGCTGGGCATGGAGCCAGGCCAGTTTCGGGGATCAAATGTAACTGCCCTGGTTTGCCTCTTTTGTGCGCATCCTTAGGTATGCAAGGGGGGGTGGTGGTTATCAGGGACACATTTGTTGGTCTTGATCCTCTGGCCCAACACCTGTGATCACCGGTTACTCCATGAAAACCCAAAGCATCTTCATGTTGACTATAAACTGTGAAAGGATGCCATTTCACACTGATTTCACTGGACTTGATAAAAGGGGAAGGTCACAGCCCCATCCTACCCGTGGCTGACATTGTGCTTCTCCCCAACACCCCTTCCACCCCTCTGCCCTTGTAGTTTGGATGAGACCACCTCTGCTCCAGGGGTGGGGCCTGACTGTCCTAAGCCAATCAGCCTGAGGCATTCACTTGGCCACAGGAATTGGTTCAGCAGGGGCCCAACTGGCCCAGAGCCCAGACTTTGGCTCAGGGGTCGTGGGAGAAGATCCTGTCGCTCTGGGAGCTGTTGGCAGCCGTCCTTGACCATGAGCGAAGTAATGGCGCTGGCACTGCACAGTGCCCTGAGCTGGGACCAGTAAAACCCTTTTATTGCTTAAGGCCGTCTGAGTTTGGTTTCCTACTGCGTCAACCAAACGCATTCTTACCGACACATCAACTTCAAAATTCCTGTAGTAACCAAGGGCATGTTTCTCTAACTTTAAAGGCACCAACTCTTTAATGACCGCTCCCATCACCTCCTGGGATAAAACTTCAGAGCCAGTTTGGGCCTCTGCCCACGTGAAGGGGATTTTGCCCCATGCTGACCTCAATTAATTAGGAGAAGCTCCAGATTTTAACTCTGTTCTGTGAACTCACCATGAAACCTTGGGCAAATTACTTCCTCATTTTGGGTTTTTATCTCCTTCTCTTCAAAATAAGGGATGTTAGCCACAACATCAGTGTCCCCTAGCACAGTGTTTTTCAACCGCTGTTCCGCCGCGAGATGTTGCCTGGTGTGCCGTAGGTGCAGACAAGACAAGAATTTTATAATTTTTCACTCTTTTGTTTACTTAATATTTCATAATAAAGTAATTATAAAATACTTTCTTTGTGTTTATTTGATTCCTATTCAAGAGAATTACTTTATATATAGTCAATATAGGCACAGAGTTAAATTTTTTTAACATTTTCTAATGGTGGTGTGCCTCGTGATTTTTTTCATGAAACAAGTGTGCCTTTGCCCAAAAAAGGTTGAAAAACACTGCCCTAGCAAATGTTATGTCCTCCTGGGCCCAACCCCAGAGCCAGAGTTAGCAGGTCTGGGTGGGACTTGGGCATCCTAATCATGTTAACCTCTGAACTCCATCCCAACACCTTTTCTGATTTTACTCTGCTGGGGTCAATGCTTGGGGGTCAGGTCTGACTGCCTTCTGCCATCTAGGGACTTGTCTCCATGCAAGACACATCATTGTGACATTCCTCATCCCCTGCGTAATGGACAGAATGGTCAAGTCCTGCAAGTGCCAAGCAAGTTTTCCTCTTCCTATGGCCTGGTATGCTTCCCATTTTCCAGTGGTTGCCAGGAAGCTTGGAGCTACACTGACAGCCCCTTGGGGGGTAACCAGCTCTTCCTTAGGTCC